AGGCAGTCGTACGGTTTGGCTAAGTTCCCTTGTACGTTATCGTCTGCACATGTACGTATAAACACCATTGATAGGCATAAGTTTTTGAGGTATAAACTCTGCACAATTATTCCCAAACAATTACGGATACACCCTTTAGAGGGATCGCGCAACATATTTAGCCTAATATCATCGCACTGCAGATCATAATTCTCTGGGAAGTTAGTGTGATTGCGGATTCATTTTTTGTCTGTTGAATGTTGAGTACTGCTTGTGTAACGTTGATGTGTGTTCCTGTAATGTACACTGTCTTGTGTAACGTTGATGTGTGTTCCTGTAATGTACACTGTCTTGTTCACTTTGTAGATATTTCTATTGTTTTGAGCCTTACACGAGATGAAAAAATAAGGCTTGTTTGTTATGGGGACTATGTATTTAAAGGGACAAAAAACTAAGGTCCAGATAAATCAATACTTTGCAAATACTAGGAAGTTGTTCATTCAGTTTACCAAGACGGCGACACTACACAGACACAGACGGCGAAGCTATTCATTGAGCTTGCAAAGACGGCGACACTACAAAACAATACCATATGAAGTGGAAAGGGGTTAGGAGCATTGTTAGGCGTGTTGATTTAATAGCCTTCGTTCAAGTACTAGCCATGCTTTACTTCAAAATGCATGGACACACTTTACAATAACGTCACCATACAAGGACTATCCCAAATTTAACCTCATCGTACCGGGATAAACTTTTCCATGACGTCAACATATACGGACTAGCCATGTTTTGACTTTAACACACAAGAACATGATTTACAATAACTTTTACATACGAGGACTTGCTAGGTTAAAACGTCAATTAACATACAAGGACACACTATACAATAACGTCAACAAACGAGGACAAACCATGATTTAACTTCGACATATAAAGTGACACTTTACCATGACGACACCACAAAAGGATTAGCCATGTTTTAACTACCATATAAAAGGTAACGCTATACAATGTTTTAACCGTTAATACCAATGTTAAGGTCAGAGTTGCAAACTAATTCGAATCAATGCGAGGACAATAAAGTACCCTCTATAAAACTCATTATCGATGAATGGTATTCCAGCCTCAGAGAAAAACCGACGATACGAGGTTGTCCTTGCCTGTCGCTGGAAGGGCCATTCATACATTACACATTTGTAGTTATGGAAACGCGAGGACCAAACTCAGTGAAAAGCATGTCACGAACCATTTACAGTAAAACGCTTATCATTAGATTGAATTGACCTTGACATGAGACAATTTTTATAGTAACATTCCACATCTCATATTTCTCTCGGAAACGGTAAATACCGCAAAAATTCTTACGTACCTTAAAATCAGTTGGTCTGATGAAAAAGATATTACTGACCTTTTTTATTTTGTTTTTTAAGTTGACATCTATTTGTTCATCTTATTGTTTGTTTGATGTCATTTCCGTTTGCATGCTTTGTCTACCTTTTACTAGGACATTTATCTGTGTTGAAGGGTTGTTAAGGACCAACTAAATGCAGAGATCAATAAAACCCTGACGTAACCATACAAGGCATTGGCCATGTTTAAACTTCAACATACAAGAGACAGTTTACTATGCCCTTAACATAGAAGGACTGGCCATGCTTTACCTCAACAAACAAGGATACAATTTACCACTAATGAGGACTAATCATGCTATAACGTCGCCTTAAAAGGGCTCGATGGAGCGTACCCATAAAGGAATATAATGTAATCAATATATGGAGATCATCAGATCTAAGGCCGTGCTTTCCCCATTAACAATTATACCAGTTGAAAAAGTTGAAAACGATGATTAATCTAATAATTTAATTTCATTCAGTAGACAAATTGATACTTCGATGGCATTATTTAGCAAAAAATAATATAGAACTGTGATAGTTTTGAAACATTGCAACAACTAGTCCTACTGTTTTCATAAATATTCCACTATAATTCTGTCACGCAATAAATAAATAACACGTGATTCGAGGATGGAGGTCAGCGTATTTACCTTGTGGTTGTAGTAATCCCAGGTAATGATCTATAAATACATTTTAAACTTATACTCGGAATTTATTGCAATTACTAGGAATTTGACCTCAAGTTCATTCAATTTACACAGACGTCTGCACTGCAAATGAAAAGAAGCATGTGAAGTCGGAAAAAAACTGAGCATTGTTAGGTATATTGTTTGAATATTACTTCATACATGTCGAGAATACGTTGTCAAAACCAAATAATTTACCTAACGTTTATTATTTAGGCTATTGATATTATATGTTCATGAAACCCTTTGTATATTGGGTATATAACACTCAGGGTAGACTGACCCCAACGTATAATTATAAGATCCAATGACAGAGTATTGCGTCAAGAATCGTTCTGGTTGGGCGAAGTTCTCTTGTACGTTATCCTCTGCGCATGTTTAAACACCGTTATAAGCATACGTTTGTGAGGTATATACCCTGCACAATTATTCCCTATACCATTACGGATACAACCTTGAGAGGAATCGCGCAACATATTTAGCCTAATATCATCGCATTGCAGATCAAAATTGTCTGGTAAGTTAGTGTGATTTCAGATTCATTTCTGTCTGTTGAATGTTGAGTACTTCTTGTGTAACGTTGAGATGTGTTCCTGTTATGTACACTGTCTTGTGTAACGTTGATGTGTGTTCCTGTTATGTACACTGTATTGTGTAACGTTGATATGTGCTCCTGTTATGTACACTGTCTTGTGTAACGTTGATATGTGTTCCTG